CTCTGTAGCTCAGTTGGTTAGAGTGCTGCACCGGAATCGCAGGGCCGTAGGTTCAATTCCTTCCAGAGGACCTTGTGCTGCATTTTTCGCAGTCGTTCCTGGTTAAGTCTTAAAATGTATATATTCTCACTTGGATTACAAACCCTAACATTCTAATATTAATTCCAACAAGTGAAGTGCAAGAATCCAAATTATTGAAGTCCACCTTATCACAACCCGCACACCCAATTACCTAAATATACATGAACTTACGGTTAATTAAAGCTCAACAGCTGGCCTCTGTAGCTCAGTTGGTTAGAGTGCTGCACCAGAATCGCAGGGCCGTAGGTTCAATTCCTACCAGAGGACCTTAATTGTGCTGCATTTTTTGCAGTCGTTCCTGGTTAGGTCTTAAAATGTATATATTCTCACTTGGATTACAAACCCTAACATTCTAATATTAATTCCAACAAGTGGAGTGCAAGAATCCAAATTATTGAAGTCCACCTTATCACAACCCGCACACCCGATTACCTAAATATACATGAACTTACGGTTAAAGCTCAACAGCTGGCCTCTGTAGCTCAGTTGGTTAGAGCGCTGCACCGAAATGGCAGAGCCGTAGGTTCAATTCCTACCAGAGGACCTTGTGCTGCATTTTTCGCAGTCGTTCCTGGTTAGGTCTTAAAATGTATATATTCTCACTTAAAATGTATATATTACAAACCCTAACATTCTAACCCTAACATTCTAACATTTGAAATTAAGGATTTGGAGGTTTTGCGATCACTGATAACTTGATAATAATATAAAACAAAACACTTCTATCTGCAACTTTTACAATCACTGATAACTTGATAATAATTTAAACCAGTCAAGTTGTAGTTTAAATAGAGAATAATGCATGGGTGCACGAAATACCAGATTTATTTCGAGTGTTGAACATGAGTGTGCAGAGAACAAGTGAGCGCAGCGAACGAGTGAGATGTCATGTTCAACATTAAAAGTAAATCTGGTATTTCCAACCACCCGTGTATTTTTCTGTTTATTATATAAAGGACAGTCTTAAATGAAAAGCGATAATTTTTACAGAAAAGCGATAATTGAAAAGGCGATAATTTTCACATGTGAGATTATCATGAATAATTTCACATGTGAGATTATCATTTTTATCAGTGCTCGAAATCTCTGTAAAACACTATACTTTATATAATAAAAATTCATAAATTTGAACCATGCTATAGAGCATGACAACAGCAAAAGCTCTATAGTATGATGCACAATATTTTGGGAGATAAAATACACGAACAATAAATCAGAGAGTGTTTGCTTGGAACTCACTGGGGGGAGGGGGGCAACACCCCTGATAATTGCTCATGAGGAATTTCAGGTAGATTTCCAGTGCACTTTTAGGTAAATTTACGTAGATTTGCAGAAGATTTTCAGGGGAATTCAGCTAATTCTCAGGACATGAGAAAGTGAATTTGGAAAACAACTGTATTTTCGGAAAAATTATTATATGTCCTGAATTTTTTTTGTACATCTGGAAAAATTTTGGTAGCCCCCCCCCCCTCTATCTAACCTCACACACACCCTCAGACGAAGTGCTCGCAACGGCACTGAGTATACATCTTTTGAAAACAGGCGAGGGGTTATTGCATGCATGTATTTCTAGTATGATACTTTTTAAATACAACATTGGTTGGTGAGCATACTTAAACTTGTTGTGTTTGAATCTTAATTTCAAATTATCACAAATTTCACTTTTAAAAATTTCCTTTGAGAACCTGAGATTTCTTTAAAAAGTGTTCTCAGAATGCAGGAAATGCTATTTCAGAGACCAAAATTTTAAAAAATTCCCGAGGGCATGTGCTTAAACCCACCTTCGGTGTTCGCGTACTATCCAGGGAAAGGGAAAAAAAATGGCCTGGGCCCTTTGGTAGTTTTTCCCCACCACTGAAGAATCCTTAAAAGATGCCCTGAAAAACTCTCTCAGAAAGAAACTGCGAAAGAATCGGCTAAAAGAATGGAGCCGACGTTAACGAAGGCAAGTTTGTTTTAAATATTGATTTTATAATGACTTTAAAACCCGACGGCCTTTGCGTATATGAAACAACTAAACAAGACAGAATATAATTTCAGTGTATCTTTAATATTGATTCCCTTTTTTATTATATTGAATTTTTTAAATAAAAAAGAAAGCAAAGTTATTTGCAAGCGAGA